ACTGAACCCAGGGGTGCTTTACTACTGAGCTAAATCTCCAGTGCACCCCCCCCCCCCCCCCCCCCTTTTCTTTAGACAAGTCTCACCAAGTTGCTGAGGCTGGCTTTCAACTTGCAATCCTCTTGCCTCAGTCTCCTGAGTCTCTCTCTGGGTTTACAGGTTTGCATCACCACACCTAGCATCATTTTTGCAGTTTTTTTAAAAAATATTTTTCTTTAGTTGTAGATGGACACAATGACTTTATTTTATTTATTTATTTTTATGTGGTGTTGAGGATCAAACTCAGAGCCTCATTGTGTTAGGAGAGCACTCTATCACTGAGCCACAATCCCAACCCCATTTTTGCAGTCTTATAAAAAGAAAATCAGATCACCAAAACTGAAGGTTTTCACAAATCATAATTTATGATTTAAGAGCTTTTAGCATTTCTATACATGTTTTAGAGAAACAAGAGACTATTTTGATTACCAAATCAAATACTTCTAAAATGAACTCATTAACTTTACTGAAAGTTATTTCAATTCTCAACCAAGTTCATTAACTATAGTACACACTTCAGGAAGGTCAGAAATCCATTTATTTTTTAACCAACAAAAAAGACTCTTCTGGGCTGGGTGCTATAGTGCATGCCTGTAATCCCAGCGGAGGGAGGCTGAGGCAGGAGGATGGCAAATTCAAAGACAGCTTCAACAAAAGGTGCTAAGCAACTCAGTGAAACCCTGTACTCTAAATAAAATACAAAATAGGGCTAGGGATGTGGCTTAGTGGTCAAACGCTCCTGAGTTAAATCCCCAGTCCCCCCCCCCCCCAAAAAAAAAAAAAATTGCACATAGGCGACCATCAAGGACCAGGACCCATATATACTCAGTCAGGATTTAGAATTAGGATGTGTGTCTGAAGTGTGATGAGCATCAATAAAGTAGATTTGATTGAATCTAATTACGCCCCAGGCTGAGTCTGTAGTAACTGATCCTGACAGTTGGCATAGTTGGGAGGATTTTAAGAATATTTTGTCTTTGTAAAGATCACAAGAGCTGGGCAGGTAGTAACAGACGACAGATTATAATCCAGCCTTTGGGGAAATTCCACAAGTGGGACATTCCTACAAAGGCACCGGCTGCAAAGTCCTAAAATCGCGTAGGAGGAGCTGGACTGGGACAAACAAACCAAAGGCCAGCGGAGCCAAAGGGGAGGCCTAAGTGAGGCAAAACCAGTTGAAGCCACATCTGGGCAGTCAATCGCTGAGGGGAACCTGCTAAGATCAAGAGCTTAAAGCCGACTGAGAGCGAGGATGCCCCGAGGGTGATGAGTAGATGGGTGTGTAAAAGACTATATAACTTAGTAGAATGAAGAATAGAGACGCAGAGACAAAATATAGATAAATGGGGAAGGATTCGTTGACATATGAACAAGACATTCAATAAATTTATTTTAGATTTGATAACCTAAAAAAGAAAAAATGTTTAAATGTTTAAAGGTACCAGGTTTATTGAAAAAAATTAAGAAGCGAAGGGAAAAAGGAATTGAAACCCCAGTCGGATTGAAGAACGTGCGAGAAATTAGTAAAGGAAAAGATGCCAAAATATCAGAGGGGGACTACAATTACCATACCAATGACTGCCCGGGGAACCCATTTTAGTGCAAGCTGCGAAAAAGGAAATTCCTGAAATCCTGTTGTAAGGTTATAAATGATGTTGATGAAGATAGATTGAATGGGAAGTGACTAGTAAGAAAGGCTACAGCCGGAAACAGAAATAATCCGTTTTTGCGGGATATTGAAGACAAAGCCCGATATAATTTCCCAGTGAGTAAGTCAACTCCCTCTAGACTCTCTGTCACGGGAGAATAGAGTACAAAGCTCGACTGAGGTGCGCGCCCTCAACTGGAGTGAAATCCAACAGTATAGGCAAGATTTTGAGAGAGAAAGTAAAGATGGAGATGTTTTAGCAAAATTATGGAATAAGGGAGCCAATTCTATTACATTATCTGGGGAAGAAATGCAGAATTTAATGGACATTTTAGAACATCCAGTAATACAGGATGATTTGCAGGTCCTAATAGAAACCGCTCGCTTTTTGAGTGGGTGGGGGCCACTTGGAGGATGGCCTTCTCACAAGTAGATTTATAGTCTTTCGAGACACAGTCCAATTTGAGGATAGTAAACGAAGCTATCCAAATCTGTAGAAAAATAGGCATTATATTTATGATATATGGCAGTTGCACCACCCCACTCAGATGCCCCATGACTGTGGCAATTAAAAGGATAATAATTAAGGGCACTCCTCAAGAACTCACATTAACAGCGGTGCTTTCAGGCCGTCAGTTCATAATTGAGACTAGAATATTTTAAACAAGCTAGAGAGCTACAGGGACAGGGATGTAAACAATTAACCTTTATTACAATCAGAAACTCAGAATATCAAAAATGCCTAAATCTACCTTCCTGATAACTAGGAAACCTCGAGGACAGTGGAGGCTACAGAACAGGATCTCATTTACTAATACTAGGCCACAATTTAATAATAGGCCACAAAAGGGCTATAGAATACAAAATGACAATGAAAGTTTTCCAAAAAACACCACTCAGCCCTGGACCTCACTAGGCTCGGGTTCACAGCCCAACCCACAGTGGAGAAATCAGAGAAACAGAAACCTGCAGGGAAGGGACAACCAGACCAGAGGGCAAGCAATAAGAAATTTCCAAAATCCACCCTCCAGGAGACAAGAAAACCCCCAGAGAGGAGAAGGATGGTGGCAGCAACGCTGCTAGATAACTAGTCATGACAGGCACTAAACCACGGAGCCACATCCCCACCCCTATTTTGTATTTTATTTAGAGACAATGTCTCACAGAGTTGCTTAGCCCTCACTTTTGCTGAGGCTGGCTTTGAACTCGCAATCTTCCTGCCTCTGCTTCCCAAACTGCTGGGATTACAGGCTTGCACCACTGCGCCTGGCTATGCCTAGGAATTGTTGACACAATATACACACATTAAATAAGCAATCCAAAAATGCAAGTACAAAAATCAATAAGGGTTGTTCCAAAGACAGTGTAGAAATACATAATGCTGCAAATAAACTGGACTCAGAAATCTACTTGTTCTTCAGTGATAGCCAGGTCCAGTCCATGAACATGGTTTTTATTACTCACAGAGTGGGAGGAATTGGACAAAGCCACGCGTGAAAAGTTCTACCACCATTATGCATGACCATAGGATGACTGTCAATCAGGGAAGATTCTAAGGTAGCATCACGAATATCAACGCTAATTTGCTATTTATTTGCTAGGGACAGGTGATCCCTGTATCTCCTGTGATGGGAGTAGCCAGCAGTCCCAGTCCACAGTCCTAGGAGTAATGAGGCTGTAGCTGACCTGTTATCTATTTCCTTAAGCCACAAACTGTGCTCATATGCAGACTGTAGGTTTACAGGTAGAACATCATAAGCACAGGGACAACAATGCCAGAAACACAGGAAAGGCTACCAATTCCACTGGTTGGTTATCTGTGACGAGTCCTGCTTCCTCACATATTGAAGTATAACATTAGAGAAGCATGGAGGCAAGCATATAAAGCAGGGTTTATTTAGAAGGAAGTAACATAGACTTCTCCCAAGAGGGAGAAGGAGGCCATAGCTGGTATCCTAAAAAGTGAGGGTGTTCTGCTTTTTTTGTTTTGTTTTAGGCTTCTTTTGTTCTCAGGGTCTCTTCCCCTTATCTCTCTCCTTCCTGTGTACTGACTAGGCCTAGGAGATGCTCACATGGAATTGCCAAAAGGTGAGAAGCAGATGGGCTGGAGGCGCCAAGCAGGAAGAGGGCCCACTGTGCATTAACAACTTTTGTTAACTCCCTGTGGAGAGGGACAATCCCTGGGACAGGTTACCCTAGCAACAGGTTGCCCCTGGGGCAGGTTTTCTGCATAAAGGTGGAGGAAGGGCTCTGAAGGCATTAACATTTTAATCTTGCTCCATCTTCCCAGGCCGTAATTTGCCTCCTTGATCTGATCTGACCTGACCCGATTTACCTATCAATACTGCTTGTGTTCATTCTGGCTTCACTACTATTCAAATACAATTTGCACTGAAAGTGCCACTTCAGGACCAGCCTAAAGCAATGGTATAAGCAGCACTGTTAACAGTGGCTCTTTCACATCCAGCCTCCACACAGATGTGGAGACAGTAAGTGTGGCAACCACCAGACTTTTGTATTTGAAAATGTGGAAGATGGTTTAATAGTTGCGATCTCCCCCAAGTTGTTGAATCTACAATTCAACTAAGGCATCTGAGCTTTTGAACCAACATGATAAATACCTGGCTCAAACTTAAAATGCAACAAAATTTCAGTTTGAATGAAATTTGAAGATCTGAAATGGGACACTTGACAATTCTTGCTCACCATGGTCAGGTCAGGGTTAAGGAAACCATGCTGGGCATCCGTGAATGAGGCTGTTGGTTTTAGACAAAGCACCGCGCTCCGCCTCCACCTCTCTTTCTCTTAAAGACTGTGAACAATTTTTTTGTGTCAGTGGACTGGGAAATAGCTACAAGGCCTTGTGGGAGAGCCTCTTTAATGTGTTCCTGGGCAACTGCCCACAGTAACTCTTCTGAGGGGAGGCTGGAGCCAAAACTCAGTCTGAGAAATGAGTAGGTTCTCCCCGCAGAGGGAAGAGATCTTGACTTCGGAACGCAGGGTCCTAAAAGCCCCAAACCATTCCTCCCCCACGCCCCCCGCATACCCTAAGACCCTGAGGCGTTTGCCGACCGTTATCAGGAGGGCGGGGCCTGGATCACGTGGTCGGCGCGGGGTCAGAACCCGGCGTGCGTGAGAACACGCCGAGACTCCGGCCTCGGCCGCGCGCCTTGGGTGCGCGCGCAGGCCGGGGGCGGGGCGTGTGGGTTGGGCCTCCGGCGCGCGCTGCGGGCGGGGGCGGGACCTGGACCCCGCAGGGCTCCGGGCGCGGGCGCGGGCGGGCGCGGGGGCGGGGCCTTCTGTGCTCCTGGACTGGCAGCGGTGGCGGTGGGATCCCGGTGACCCGCGGAGGGGTGCCTCAACCATGACTGCGGAGCTGCAACAGGACGATGCGGCCGGAGCGGCGGACGGCCACGGCTCGGTGGGCCAGCGACGCGACTGGGAGCCTGGGGGCCGCCCCGTGGCCCGGGAGGGGAGCGTGGGACGGGACGCCAGCGACGCCGGGCGCTGGCGCGCTGGAGGCCCGACGGGGCAGGCGAGGCCTGTAGGGTGCGGGGCTGGGGGCCGCGGGGTGCGCCACGCGGGCGGGCAGGGGTCCGCAGGCTGCGTCGGGACTGGCCTTTGGGCTAGGTTGCGGTACTTGCGAGACTCGGGTTGAGGACTTCATTTTTGGGTCTGTGAGCAGGCTGATGATGGTGAAGGTAATTAGGTTATTTTGGAAAACCTAATATAAAGGACTGCACGTGGGGTTGTATGCATCAGGGTCACTAAGGAGAGTGCTCCTGGGCCCCGATCAGGAGTGAGAAACTTCTGAAAGGGGCGGCATGGGTTGTTTTTGTTTTTACTCAAGTCAGTTTTATGGCAGTGTTGTTTTAAAGAGTGTAAAGAAGACCGAAGTTATCTCGCTTAAAGCTGAGGTTCAAAGAAGTGTAGAAAACTAGGGATCCTAATACATTACCTTCCTCCTTTCCAGCTCGCTTTTCTTTCTTAATTCCCTCTCCTTTTCTTTTTTTGAAACAGAGCAGCCTCCCTAATTATTGCATTCATTTCTAGATTTTGAAGCAGGGTGGAGGAATAGGGTGATGGAACAGAAGTTATACTGATTTTGCTCTACCTACTTCATATCTAAGTTTGAAATCAGAACAAGGATTTCTGGGATAAGATGGTGAGAGTAAAAGAACAGTGGTTTGAGAGCAAATCAAAAGGCTATGAGGAAACTTGGGAAGTGGGGAATTTAAGAATATCTTCTAATGTTACTTTGGAATGTTATAACTTAACCACCTCCTCACCCCTCAGTACTACTTTTGGTTCAAGACAGAATGGGAAATCTGTGCCAAATATTCAAATACAAGTTTGGAAGTGAGAAGTGAGAAGTTTTGTAAAATGTAATACAGAGGTGTCATAAAGTGCTGAAGGAGAAACCTTTTGTGCCTTTTTATTCTTCTGATGCACTCAGAAAACCTGGAGTATATAACATGCACACACTTTTTAAAACTTACGTAGAAAAAGATATCTCCAGGTCCTGGGCTCCAAAGTGAAAGTATGTGAATGGTGTTTTATGTGCTGATTTCTAATGGAAATATTATTGTTAGATGCTCAGTGCCTTTGGAATTTCAACCAGGATTTTTCTCTTGTTTGGTTTCAGAGATCAGTTCTATTTGTTTTTTAGGACAGTGACTTAAAAACAGGTGGGAAAATGTTGGTTTCTAGACAGTTATATTGATTTAGATAATAGACTATTTTAAGGGAGAGCAAGTCATATTTAAATTTGTTGGGACTGTCATGTAAGACCATGTCATGTGCCTGTTAATCAGTGGCATCTTCATTTATCTTTGCCATAGTTTGAGAAGTGACCCCTGTTTCAGCACTCACCATTTGAGAGTTTGTATGTGGGGTGTTTGATGAGCATTTGTATATAAGTCATAGTTATTTTGGGAAGGCTTGGCACTGTAGTGGCTACTGGCTGCAGCGTCCTGATCTTTGGCGGCCTGCAGAGTGATGACATTTACTGTTCTTCCCAGTGATTCGCCCAATACTGACAGATGATAAGCTTGGAATGCTTGATAATTTTTGCCTCCCCCCCGCCCCCGCTTTTTTTTCCTAATGTGAATTCTTGAAGTTACCAGTTTAGATTGAAGGAACTTTTACCTTTTTACATCTTGGAAGATTTTAATAATTTCTTCCCTAGAATAGATTCTTTTATTTTGAATTCTGAGGCATTCTACCTTTCTGTTAAAAGATATTTAATTGTTATAGTTGAGAAGAGCTATCCTCCCCTGACACTGAAAGGCTATTTAAAACCTACAATCCTTCCCTTCCCTTATTGGTCAGTTAAGAAGACAAAACCCTTTATAGCCCCCCAAGAATTTTAGTGAGAGAAAAATGTAATTCTCTTGAAATACACTCTCAGTGTGTACTGAAATCTCAGAGTGGCCACTTTGTGATATTACTAAATCCCCAGCTTATAGACTGATTATTTCTAAAAGGTTACTTATTGACAGATTCCTATATATTAATTAGTTGTTGATGTACATAAAAACCAGCAGGAAAGTTTACTTGTTACAGTGTAAACAAATTGTAGTGTAAACAACTTGAAATCAGTTTGGTTCCTTTTTATTTATTTATTTTTAATTTTTTTAGTTGTAGATGGACACAGTACCTTTATCTTATTTATTTTTATGTGGTCCTGAGGATTGAACCCAGTGTCTCACATGTGCTAGGCAAGCGCTCTGTAACTGAGTCACCCCTACCCCCAGTTTGGTTCTTATAAACCTCTCATCCTTGGCAGCAGTACTAAGGGTTGACATCACACTTTTTGTGGGGGGCAGGGATGGTACTGGGGATTGAACCCAGGGGACTCCACCACTGGGCTACATCATCAGTCCTTTTTATTTTTTATTTTGAGATAGGGTATTGCTGAGTTGCCAAGGCTTGCCTTGAACTTGAATCTATCTTCCTGCCTCAGCCTTTTGAGTTGTAGGGTGTCTAGCAGGCTGACATTACACATTCTTTAGGATAGCTCAAGCCCTTTTAAAATGTGTTAATTTTAGTGAATGTAATACCCTTTTATGCTTTTTCTTCATTTATTAAGTTTTCATTTCCTTTTGCATTGTCTCATTAATTGTGACTTTTGGAACATCAGTAGGTCAATGATTGGTTGGCTTCACAACTCTCATACTCAGCTACAGTTATTGTTCACTCAGTAACAACAGTATTTATAAGACATGTTGACAGATAGGCTCTTACCAGGCACTCTTTCTTTCTTTTTTTTAAAAATATGTCAATGGACATTTATTTATTTATGTATTTATGTGCGGTGCTGAGAATTGAACCCAGTGCCTCACATATGCTAGGCAAGTGCTCTACCATGGAGCTACAGCCCCAGCCCATCCAGGCAAGGTCTTTCTATGTGTTTTGTTTCATTAAAGAAATTTAAACCAATAGCAAAGTGGAAGCAAGTGCCTTCCAAGAAAAATTATGATGCTGATACCTGTAATAGTTAATACCAGTAATTGAGCATTTATTGTGTGCTAGACCCTGTGCTTAGAACTTAATAAATTTTTGTCTCAATATTTATAGAAATTCTTTTATTTTTTTGGTGGTGCTGGGGATTGAACTGAGGGGCACTCAACCATTGAGCCACATCTCCAGCCCCCTATTTTGTTTTTTATTTTGAGACAGGGTCACATTGAGTTGCTTAGTACCTCGATTTCGCTGAGGCTGGCTTTGAACTAACGATCCTCCTGCCTCAGCCTCCTGAGCTGCTAGGATTACAGACGTCTGCCACTGTAACTAATATTTATGGAAATTCTATGAGAAGGCTTATACTTTTTAAAATATCTAAGGTCACCCAGCTCAGAAATTGTACAGCCAGATCGAACCCAGGCAATTGAGTCCAAGAGCCCGAGATATCTCTGGTTCTATCTCTTAGTTGATGGAGCCATTGTCCTAGGCCAGAACCTTCCCATTAATCTCTTAATGTCTTCTCTGTGGATTTCCTCCTAATGTTTTAAACTCCTAATCTTTCACTTGCACTCTTTCTTTTCTTTTTCTTTTTTTTTTCTTTTGGCACTGGGGATTGAACCCAGGGGCACTCAACCACTGAGCCACATCCCCAGCCCTTTTTGTTTTTTTATTGTGAGACAGGGTTTCTCTGAATTGCTGAGGTCCTCACTTCTAGTTGTTTGGTTGGCCTTGAACTTGTGATTCTCCCCTCCTGAGTGGCTGGGATTACAGGCATGCGCCACCAGGCTTGGCTTTTCCCTTGCACTCTTTCTAAACATAATTTTCTTTCCTATGTTTGACTGAGCTCCCTGATGTCTAAGTAGTTTCATGTTTTGTCCAAATGCCTTGCCCCCAGCATCTCATTGATTATCTCTAATTTTAGTGGAAGAATTATATTTCCCTTCTTATTCCATCATTTCTTAGAAATAAACCTAGATTAGTAATGTGTAGTAGAGTGAGATTTTTGCACTCCAGGAGATGTTTGACAATGTTTGGAGGTGATTTTGATTGTAATTGCTATGGGAAGAGGCTATTGGCATCTAGTGGGTAAAAGTCAGGAATGCTGCTAAACATCCTAGAATGTATAGGATAGCCCCCACAACAGGCCCAAAATGTAAATTGTGCGGAGCTTGAGAAATCCTCATGTAGATGTCTCTGTTTATTCTTTTATGTAATTTATCCTTTATTATTCTCCTTTATTCTAGCCTACCACCCAGAAACTTTACTGTCTACTCCTTTGCTACTTAAATGGACCAGAGGCATCTGCATTACTTAGGACAGAAATGCTGAATGTTGGATGTGCTAGAGCCAGCTTGTACTGCTTTTCCAGCAGATTGTGTATGTCTCTTCTGTGTTTAGTGACCTCGTATTGATAGTTTGAGACCACCAGGGTGAGAATATTAATGGCCAGGGAAATAAGCACACGCTGAGATTGGAACACCATTGCTTGGACCTTCACTCTGGATCTATTGATTAGATTCTGTCTTTTGACAAGATTCCTGCATGATTCATTTGCGCATTAAATTTTGAAAAAGCTATGGATGGGTTTAATTCCCATTTTGTTGTGCACACATGTCCTCAATCCTGAAACAACAAAATTCTCTGTTGCCCTCTCCACCTGTTGTTTTGTTCACTTCTTTTTTTTTGGGGGGGGGGTGGTTTACCTTTGGAACTCAGTTTCCAAACTGTGTCTTTCATTTCTTTTCCTTCCCCCCCCCCTTGGGTACAACCAATGAAAGAAATTTATATGTCAGTACAGGAGGATAATTGATGCATTTGTAGTATTTATTTCAATAATTCATCTCTCAGACCACAAACACATAAAATCCATTATTCTTTTTTTTTTATTTTTTATTTTTTTAATTTTTTATTGTGGGTTGTTCAAAACATTACAAATTTCTTGACATATCATATTCC